AACAGTCTAAATGAAAAGTTTGGAATAAATTACTGGCTAACTTGAGTGTCTGTGTCACTATAATGAGTAAAGTAATTTAAATAAAATCTTGCTTTGAGCACTTGTTTAGCATGCTTTCTTTCAATGTACTGCATCTGCCATCTTGTAAAGGAAAACTTGGTAGCCCCGCATTCAAAGCATTGTGAAAGATTGGATCAGGTCTCTCGCGAAAAATGGTGACCGGCTCAATGAAAATCTTACCCATGAGAGTATTTTCTTGACTGCAGCCCTGCAAATGATATTTCTATTTGAATTCTACAGTTATACACACTTACCTGTGATACAAAAAAGTGCATTTTGTCTGGAGACTTTCTTCTGTCCATGATTTTTCCATTAAATGGTCCAAAGTACTTTCCCTTTGGAATATGCATGTGGGCCAAAAGTCCTGCACTGCGTAATTCAGGGGGGAGATGTGCATCTTTCTTTTGTATCTGAGAAGGCCTGCCTATAATGAATATTAAAAGAAGTGGCTTCCATGGAAAATTTATTTTCTGTTTATTATCTGCTAGTCTACATGTATTCAAACTATTCTGTTTGGAAACAAAGTTTTTTGCTGAAGACTCAAAAACCTTTTCTAGGATACTTCAGGTGATATATCCCAACCTTTGCAAGAAGTATTCTGAACATAGAGGATAATGTGCTAAAGTCAGGAGAATGTGACAAGAAAATTTAAATAGGAATTTCCATACTACACAAGGTTACATGATAATTATATTAAGAAATAGAAATCACGTACTGTGTCTATCAAGTTATAGGAACACAAGTGGAAGTTTGGGAGAAAGAGAAATGCTGTGGGAACACAAGACGAGAGACAGGTGTTTCGGCAGCTTTTTTAAGTTCTCCCAAACTTCTACTTGTAAGTGTTTCTTTAACTCAGTAGGAACATGGAGAACATATTTTCCATTTCTCTTAGAAATTTAACGATGCCAAAAAATAAAACAACTTATTTACTTTGATCATCAAAATGTAAATTCTCTTTGCTTGCGCCATCATTACCTAAACAACTCATCCTAGTTCTGTGTTTCTATATTGAGTTATGGAAACACAATTTTACACCAATCAGTGGGCATATTTTCTTCAGGCTATTTTCTAAAGCTCATTAGAGGTACCATCAAAGAAAATTTATGTTTTGAATTTCCAGTTTTTATTATTAGGCCAATAAGAAGTCGGGGGGGAACACGATGGAAATTACAAGCTTATAGTTTATCAGCTTAATTAACGCATGAATCGAGTTTTTTTTCTAAATTTATCAAAAAACGTTCCATAGTCAAAACACGTTGAACGTAGGAAATTAAGGGAATATAAAGAAATATTAAATATGTTTCTTTTTTTTACCGGCGAAAGAACACTGCTTTACACGCAGGGAAAGCTGTCAAAATTTTCCCACTTCCTCTCGTTCGCTTTGCCAAAAATGCAAATGAGATCATATGTCACACGGATCAACACACGCACATTTTCACATTAGCAGAAACTCGAATATTTTCAGGATATTAACAGCTGATGTGTCTTATCTCCGTAGGTAACTGAACAAGACTTCTTTTTACTTTTTCAAAGATATTTCCGCTGCAAAACAAGGAGATTTTGATCAAGTATTCGCCGAAATATTGATCCGTCATTCGATACACGGTTCCACAGTTCCTACATTGCAAGCATCAACTTGAATACATGTACTTTCGATTTCAACAGTGCAAGCAACAGGGTAAAATCCATACCTTTCTTCTTCTTTCCTTTCTTCGAAGAAGTCGATGGCTGTTCTTCCGGGCTATGCAGTCTCACACGCTTACTAGCAGTCGGACTTTTCCGCCCTGCTCGTAAACCTTCTCGAACGCCGCGCTCTTGCGATTTCCTTTTCGTTGTGCGTTGGGGCCTTGACTTCATTCGCGCCATCACCTCAAAAGCTCTGAGCCAATTTATAAACTCAAAATGGTCAAATTAGTGCTTTCTCGTTCAATAGCATTACCAGATGGAGAAAACTGTGGCAGGGAGGAAGCGAATCGCTTCAACAGTCCACACCCGCGTCTCAACTGTCCGCCATAAGTTCATACCATTCCGACGAGTTTTATCTGACTGATCACGTGATTAGTCTCCCACCGACGGAGACTGGAAACGCTTTCACTCGACGAAATTTCCGGAAATTTCTAATGGCGAATGGAACTGCACTTCCGGAATTTTCGGGCAACAGGACAACCTCGCGAGGTATACCCAAATGTTCGGAAATCTCTTACAGGGAATGTATTTCGCTACTGAAATTTCTGGAATATTCGGTTGAATGGTTCGCATTTCGGAAATAATAATTTAACGATTTCCTGGAAACTTACTTTCCAAGGAATTTCTCTCTTTTGATAATTTTTGATGAATGGGAGGCGCCCTGGGTAAGAACAAAATGGATTTTTGAAATTAGGAAAAGCCAAAATCAGCTCCTAATGAATTTCAGAAAATTCGCTCGTTGGTTGCCCCGTAACTTTATTTAAGCTTATGAACAAGCTCAATACACAGCTACTCATTTTTGCATAGCCATTCCAGCAAGTGCCCTTTGTGGCAAGGTCTATGTAGCGAACGACAAAGGGCTTATGGGTCTCACGCGAAATCGCGGAATAAATCAGAACATCAAAAGGGACCTCTACGCCAACATGGCAATGTGAACACCGCTGATTCAAATCGAGTAAATTCTCTTTTTCTTTGTCCATCGTAAGAAATAACACTCAAACTGCGCTGATAAATATGACAATAAAACGCATCGTTGGAAAACAGAAATAAAACTATATCATTTAACTTGACGTTTCGTATGTTTCGACATACATCTTTAGAAGTGACCGTGTAGTTTAGCATAGAAGTAACAAATAAATTTTAAATGTAAAATAAGTAACTAATTAACAATAACAATGACAGAAGCTGAAAAAAATTTACATATGAAAAGATGCAAACTAATTAATAACAATAAAGCTTTTCGCGGTCCTGATGCATGCACCTTCAAAAAATGTTTTAATTTATCTGCTATCGCACACACGTCACGTCAACTGGTCACAACTTAAAATGAGAACACTTTGAAATATAAGTAAAAGGTCGGTCAGATACATATTGCAAGATAAAAGAGACTCTGCTAATTAGGGAATTGAAATCTAACCGAAATGATAATGTTAGCCCTTGGAGAGTTGGAGCACGCACTTGATAGAGTGATGACGTCACAAGTGGTATAAGGACAGTGTTGCTCAGAATGCTCTTTGGATGGGTTTAGCTGTAAGTCCACTTTTGTCGCATTTTTTATTACTTTGCTTCAATAGATACAGTGAATACCTTGTCTTGACAGGATATGCACGCTCAAGGCTGTATACCTCGGTCGACCCATTAGCGGGGGGCGGAGGTGCAAAAGTTGATCTTTAACCTTACCACATGACAAGTTTGAAAAATATCTGAAGTGGGAACATTTTGTTGGGCACAAACGTCCTTAAGCAGTCAATTCTTGTCAAAGAGAGAGAGGAAAATAAATGCGTTTTGTCAATTTTTTTTTGCCTTTATTTCTTACCTTGATTCAAAGGGACACTGTAACCATCTTTAGCATCTGATTTTGGCAATCTCAAAAACATAAATCGATCATTGGAAGCTGAAAAATATTGGTTTTATTTTGCAGAGCGGTACTCGACAAATGATTAAACCCATTAGGAAGTGAGGATGGCTAACGATGGCGAGGATGGAAACGGATTGTGATATGGATTTTTGAAAAAGCGTCAGGATGTCAGTTTTTCAAAGGTTCAAGTTTGGCTCATAAATCGTTGAAATTTTGCAAAAATGTTGCTACAGTGTGGACAATCTTCAAGAAATTGCTTTTAATCATTTAGTTAGAGCTAATTAAGTTCTTATTACATAAATTTAGGGACCATTTCGTGAATTTATAACAGTTTTCAGCAAATATATCGTGACAGTGTCCCTTCAATCAATCAACTACAAGCGTGCGTTAACAACTGAGATAATAGTGAGAATCATACAAAAGCTTAAACCCAACATTCGCACGTAAAATACGTCAGCTAAATACGAGTGTCTCTCTCTGGCAACAACTCGATACCAGGACTCACGCCAGTACATCAAATATACTCTATGGTACACTGATCTTTGTTCAATGTACATGATTGCTCGCACGTCTCTGCCTTACTCGAACACTGCAGCGCGCAATTGCCTCTGGTACATCTCTGTTCACATGCGGTTCCGTGGCATTCCAGACCGCATCCTCCACCGGTACAGCTCTGTTCACAAGTGTCAGCCTTACAGATAACTGAGGCGCAGTCACCACCGGTACAGCTGAATTCACATCTTGTGGGGGCCTCACATGTCAGGTCACAATTTCCACCTAAGAAAACGTT